AATATTGAGCTTTATTCGACAACTATTTATATTTTCAAGCTTCTAGAGTATAATAAATGATCAAGAAAAAACAATCAGGCTTTTCAAGAACTCAAAACCTAGTTAAACTGTTTGTATCATAAAAAGTGGGCTCATTTGTGCACATGCGCAGATCGGACTGTAGATCACCTTTAAAAAACGACCCATATCAATATATTATATGAGTTCATTGGCCAAATAATTTTAAAAATCAACGTTGTCTAAACGGAGAAAATCAAAGCTTATTAAGTTTGATGTAAATTAACATGACTTTTTATCACATACAGGGTGTCCCAAAAAAACACAAACTATTGAAATAACGTATATTGTTAGAATTTGAATGCCCTATAGCACTAAGCCGAACGCAAAGATGCGTAAAATATTGACAGGGTGCATATATTATAAATATTGAGAAATTAAAATATATTTGTAACGCGCACGATTCTCTGCTCTTGGTAATTTAAAGCAGCTTCTTAAACATATCATGGTTGTTATAAGACCTGGTTAGGAAACCCGGCAAACGTCAAAGAAATTACGCTATAAACAAACATGGAGGTTGAAGAGTCAGTTTGACCCTGCACAAATTGGTTTTAATCAATTAGAATTGACCAAACGATGTAACACAAACATTCTCCATCGACAAATGGTGGTAATACTTCGTTATTTGCAAAATATGCCGTAAGATATAGCCCTGGTATAGGCAAAACAAACACTTGATACCCATTCCCTTCGCCAAGCTTTCTGAACTGACTATTGTCAAACAATAGAAAGACAAAGGATTTTTCAACCGTGACCCTGCACAAGGTATACAATCACCTAAAACAAAGGGTTTCCAAACCATGTCATATACAGAGTGTATAAAAAAAAACGCAACCTCGGAATTTCCCAAGAAATCGACATTGTTTTGAAGACAAAAGATTTTAGGCGCCTGGGAATTTAAAATAGCACAACTGTCAAAGTTACTGCACACGCGAGTGCATAAAGCAAAATTTATGCATTTATTTAATGCACAACAACAGTAATAGGATCTATTAGCAATTCGATTTCAATTCCCAGGGGCCTAAAATCTTTTATGCTTAAGAATTGCAAAGTGATTTCTTAGGAAATTCCGAGGTTGCGTTTTTTTTTATACACCCTGTATATTAACTATGAAGATATGGATAAAATTTACTTATGTCAAGCTTTTATGCAAGGTCCAAGGTATATTAGGTCCAAGGAGGTATATATAGATTTGCGTTCGAAAATTCCATCGACAAAAACCCTCTCTAAAGGACATTGGCAATAAAAAATTAGTTTAGTTCATTTGAAAGAACTCTTAAAACTATATATTAAACTCTGTTACAGATTGTTTATATCTTGCTTAGGCCTGGTTTATACAGCGTGCTATGAGCGAACCGAACCAATTTTTAAATTAGCACGGCCAAGCACGGTATTAGCACGCATTTTGATTTATACGTAACGTATCTGAGCCAATTTTTAAAGTTGAGATAAAGAGTCTGGGCGTAAAAGGAGCGTAACATTAATACAATATGGCGTCTCATATTGTTGCAGTATGGTTCGCTGATGGCACTGTGGTTTAAATCAAGGGCGTGCTTAACCGTGCTACGAGCGTTCGGCACGCCTTCGACGAGCGAGCCGCACGGTCAGTAGCGAACCTAATTCAGAGAGTGAACCAATTTGATTTAGACAGCGTGCTATGAGCGAACTTATTAGTTAAGTAATTGGTTCGGTGCGCTCATAGCACGCTGTATAAACCAGGCCTTAGTTTTCAAAATATTTCGACTGAAAAAATTGAGCTGTTCGCCATCTTCGATTATTGAGGATATGCATGTTACGTCAAGAGAGGGGTCACGCTAAGTTTTTATCTTGAGAGTAAGCGATCAATATGAGTCCAAAACTTCGTTTCTGCAGGTTGCGGTCTGAAATTTAGAAATGATGAAAAACATTTCAAACAATTTTGGATTGTTACTCGGTCATTTTAGAGTAGTTTTATATGGTTAACCCAACTCCTGACGTCATCAAAACCATAGTTAATGAGGTCAAGAAATTGGTCCAAGATGGAGGACAGCTCATTAATTTCGGTCTAAATATTTCGAGAACTAAGCATTAAGATATGACAAATCGGTAATAGAGTTTAATATATATTTGAATGAGACAAACCATTTTATTATTGCCAATGTCCTTTAACAATACTAGTTCCATCGAACGAGATTTCCCAAAACCACGATATTCCTTTTATAACATTTCTAACATTTTGTGAAACGTTTAGAATAGGGTATTAAATCATCTTTTAACTTATCTCTGTTGGGTTTGGCTATATCCCCATGAAATTTAACGGGATGTATAAATTTAACATCATAATTATAACTTTCCCAAACTAAATTTCCATCGGCAAAATCACGAAAGCCGTACTTGTCCGGCAGATACAACCCAAAATGTTTTTCCCATGAGCTTCGTAAGTCTAGGAAACTCAAAATGGTCGGAACTGCAGCTTCCAAAAACACTCGATTTTTATGAAACACAAAAGAGATCCGCTGAAACTGGTCACTGAACCTCTTGGGTACATAAAATATGTCTGACCACGTCTTTAGACAACGCTTTTTCCCTTCGCCATTATCAAGATGTGTTTCTACCAATTTCGTGATGTTTATATATTCATTTGAGCGATATTGCTGCGTGATTTCTAAGTAAGAGTCTTCGCAAGCCTTTGCAGAATTACTCCACTGGCTCCACCAAACCCAACTATCTGGTATTTCTTTTTTCCCCATGATATGAGCTGTATCTATCCAAATATCCGCACCTAGCCAAACTTTCTCCTTATCAAGTTTGTAGAATGTCCACCAGTTAACAAGCGCGTCGTCATTTATATAGAAGTAACCACGGTAACCAGGATATCTACAGAGATAAAAGTGACAAAAAAACGGCAGACAATAGGGCCATTTATACGTGACAAAATAAGTCGCGACTTACATAAGACGCGACTTAAATAAGTGGAGTTATCGCATAAATGGTTCTCTACGGTTTTGGTCTTATTTATTAATTGCTATAGCTATAATGTTGTTTTGGTTGTTTTTGTTTTAATATGTAAGGCATTAAATTTTACGCTGTTTCAAGTTTCTGGCATGACTTTTTGTCCAAAATTTCTTATTTAAGACGCGACTTAAATAAGAACAGCTAAAAGACCTGTTCTTATGTAAGACGCGTCTTATCCAAGACGCGTCTTACATAAGAATTTTGTACCTTTTATACCACAAACTCGCGTCTTACTTAAGTCGCGTCTTATGTAAGTCTCGTCTTATTTTGTTCCGTATAAATGGCCCTATTATCTTTCTGCTTGCGCTGGTATGGAAATTATGAAATACAAACTCGAGAACATTTTTAACTTATAACTTAGGTTTCGTTGTAATTTTCAACTTAGGTTTCGTTGTTTACAAAAACATTTGGCAGACTGCTCACTGGATATCCAGAGCATATAATTAAATAAGTGCAACGACTCAACAAATTCCACTAGGCATCTTTATTACCATTAATTACTATATATATATATATATATAGGACCGTTGAATGAATGGCGCAAGCAAACTATTTAGAGTAGTATCGCCTGAGGATCGCTTTGAAAGCGTGAAACACTGTGTAGCGATTAATAAAATTTTAAGATTATAATTAGTATATATATATATATATATATATATATATATATATATATATATATATATATATATAAAAAGACATAAACAACAAATTTCAATGTTAAAATTTTATTTCATCGCTACACAGTGTTTCACGTACAGCGTACGATCATCAGGCGATCAGGCGATTGATGCTAATTATCTCGCAATAAATTACAACGGTTTACGCTGACGCGCTTAGATTGCTGACGCAAGCATTTAAACGATTGTGTTTACTTGCGCGCGCGCGCGCGTTTGAAATTAGAACGGCTTTTTTCCTGCTGGTAAAAGGGAGCAAGGGTAGATCGGCGGATAAGGCTAGAAAGGAACTCCATCGCATTTTCGATCAGTTCGGTTTAAAGATTACCGCTGATGTCTGCCATCAATCAGTGAACTTTCTTGATGCAACCTTAAACTTGAAAGAAAATAACTTCACTCCCTATCGAAAACCAAATAATGATCCCATTTATATCGATAGCCGTTCTAATCATCCACCATCAATTATCAGACAACTCCCAAAATCAATTAATAAACGTATATCCTCCCTTTCCTCCGACAAACCGAGTTTTGATTCAGCCGCTCCTTTATACGAAGATGCACTGAAGCAAAGCAATTTCAATACCAACCTAAGGTACGACGATGAAACAAATAGTAGTAAGCCCAAGAAACGAACCCGATCAAGAAACATTATTTGGTACAATCCGCCCTACAGCAAGAACGTAAAGACGAAAGTTGCAGAAAATTTCCTTCGTTTAATAGACAAGCATTTCCCCAAATCATCGATCCTACATAAAATTTTCAACCGAAACTCTGTCAAAGTCAGTTATTCATGCATGAACAATATTAAAGCATCAATTTCAAACCACAACCGGCGTGTTCTTAAGAATCAGAATCTCTCCCAAATTCCATCGAAATCGTGTAACTGCAGAATTAAAAGTAAATGTCCACTGAACGGCAATTGTCTCGTGAGAAGCGTTGTGTATAAAGCCCAGATTACAAGCGACAATGGGAAAGTGGTCAAGAATTATATAGGAATGACGGCGGGTCCTTTCAAGCTACGATATAGCAATCATTTGAAATCATTGAACAATGAGCGCTATTCGACAGAGACGGAACTTTCGAAATATGCTTGGGGTCTTAAATCGCAGAGCAAATCATTCCGAATAAATTGGTCGGTCATGAAGCAAGTTCCAGCCGTTTGCCCAGGAATGAAAGTTTGTTCTCTGTGCACCGAGGAAAAAAGAATGATTATGTTATCGGACAAAATTAATACATTGAATATAAGATCTGAATTGTTTAGCAAGTGTAGGCATAGGAACAGTTATAAAGCTTCTAATTTCAAACGCGCGCGCGCGCGCAAGTAAACACAATCGTTTAAATGCTTGCGTCAGCAATCTAAGCGCGTCAGCGTAAACCGTTGTAATTTATTGCGAGATAATTAACATCAATCGCCTGATCGCCTGATGATCGTACGCTGTACGTGAAACACTGTGTAGCGATGAAATAAAATTTTAACATTGAAATTTGTTGTTTATGTCTTTTTATTTGCTCTACTGATTTATTGGTGTTGAGCACTCTAGTTCACTACGCACAAATTCAATATTATATATATATATATATATATATTATATATATATATATATATATATATATATATATATATATATATATATATATATATATATATATATATATATATATATATATATATAATGTATATGAGCTGTTCTGCAATCTGATTGGTTGAATTACTCGCCGTATATCAGCTCATATACGGCGAGTAGCGAAAAACAAGATGGCGGTCGAAAACCTACATGAGTTTTGCGAAGCAGGAAAAAGGAAAATATTCGCTTTGAGAAAGATAATAGTACAAGGAAAAACTCTCAAAAAAATTTGACAGGTTAGCAAAATACATTTATTACATAGAAATTAGTTTACATACAAGTTTTTTAAAGAATTAATACCGAAACAACAGCGAAAAAACATGTTCATTGAGAATATAAATTGTTCAGAAAAGTTTGCAACGAAAGTCAACAAGCACTTATATACTATACTACCAAACATCTGTATAATATATCTCAGCTTTTCTGTGACATATACCGGTTCTAAACTAACCATTTCTTTCACTTTGTCTTCGAGTTGTAAAACAAAAGTATTTCAAATTTTCAAGGCCAAGCGGTTTTTGGCCGAACAAATTGTCAAGACATTGTAACAGAGGATAATTAATTATTGCTTCAGTTAATGGCTATTAGACTATATTATAAAACAATTATATACCATTCGCTCTCGTCGTATATGAGCTGATAGCCGACTCGTCGGCTATCAGCTCATATACGACTCGAACTCATGGTATAATTGTTATATATATATATATATATATATATATATATATATATATATATATATATATATATATATATATATATATATATATATATATACATATATATATACACTGGATCCAGAAAAGTTTGACCTTCGAATATATATATATGTCGGCCATTTTGAATTTTCTTGGGTTAATTATACGCGAACGCATACATCAAAGGTCGCTCGCAACGTATTGTATATTGCAATATTATTCCAACAGCTCAAATGAATAAAAGAACCATTGATTGATGTCTTTGCACATAATCATAATGGTTAGTAGGAAATGAACATTTGGAAATGAACATATAATGGCCAGTAGGAAATGAACGTTTCTGCTTCGCCAGGTCACGAATGCTGCGCGTGCCGAGTTTCAGGGGATGAAATATCGAATGACTATCGATTCCGTTAAAATTTCCGTTGGCAAAATATAATAATTCTGGACGTAGGTTGCAGCTATAAAATAAGCACAAGTGAATACGAAAGAATAAACAAAGAAATTCATCGAGGCATGCTAATAAGCGTCTAAATCTCTAAGGATGCAAAAGAATAAATTACGACATGCCAAAAAGATCAGGTTCCAAATTGTGACAAGAGTTAATTAGCTAACAACCCTCAAATGTTCATTAGATAGCTACTACAAATATGTGTAAGAACTTCAAGCAATGATCCTTTACTGATTTGAGCTGTTGGAATATTGCAATATACAGTACGTTGGAGCGACATTTGATGTATGCGTTCGCGTATAATCAACCCAAGAAAATTCAAAATGGCCGACATATATATATATTCGAAGGTCAAATTTTTCTGGATCCAGTGTGTATATATATATATATATATATATATATATATATATATATATATCAATAAATATAGTACAAAACATAATCCGAAGATAAGCATCTTGAAACCCAAAATATGAGTCAAACAAGAAAGTGAGTGAGCAATATTTCGATTTCATTACAAAATCATCATCAATTTGTAATAAAATCGAAATATTACTCACTCACTTTCTTGTTTGACTCATATTTTGGGTTTCAAGATGCTTATCTTCGGATTATGTTTTGTACTATATTTTTTGAAATTGTCGGCTGGTATTGGTTTTTACTTATCAATAACCCTCACATAAATTCTAAATCTTAACCTAAGAGAAGCTATGTTCTGGCCACCCCACACAAATTATCATGGTCAATAGAATAACAAGGTTAGGAAGTTCGATGCAGACATAATACACCTCATTACCTATGTTTTTGTTTTGGTCTATGCGACAAATGGTCTGTTCATCATCACGTGTGTATTGTATTTTCGCTAAAGCAACCAATAGCTATGTTTTCTTTTAACCATTGTGTAATATCACGACTGAGTAATTGAACCAACACACTGCTATTGTTGGTTGGGCGAAAAAAACAATACACACGTGACGATGAACCGACCAGTTTTTGCATAAACCAAGACAAAAACATAGATAATGAAGTATGTTATGTCTGTATCGGGTTTCCTAAGGGACTGTTCATAAAGTAACTGCTAGGGTGGGCTGGAGGTAAATCACAAATTTTGCCAATAAGTTCGGTGACCCATCTTAGGATGTAGATAAAAATTTCAAAGCCCATCTAATCATATACAAAAAATTGTTCATGACCCACCCAATCTAAATTGGGAAAATACACTTTTATACTAAAAAAACTTGCAGGTATGAACATTGATTGTAAATATACACGGCACTGTATTGACATATACATAATTCCACCAAGCTTGACCAACACATTAATCACCAATTACGATACTGAGCTGTTCTCCAGTTGGTTGTATTTGCTGTGATTCGACCACTTGCTGTTGTTGTATAAACAAAGTACTGGCTTCAATAGCATCATTTGCATTTGATAATTTGGATAGTTTTGTATACTTTTATTATTAATATCATTATTTTTTGAAGTAGAAGTAGGGTTTTTGTTTGGTGGCCCAACCGTGGACATACCAAAATATTGGCGGCCCATCGAAACTACCCAAAGATTTTCCATGGCTACTAACTCTTGACGAAGGGCCTTCGCTCGAAACGTCGAGTTTCTGCTTATTTTTTAAGGCAGTAATATAACCACTCAGCACAGCATTTTCACATTGGTACTACCTACACTGGTACAGACAGGTTTAGTATATATTTTCCATGCCCCATCCCAAATCACTCCAGCCCACCCTAGCAGTTACTTTATGACCGGTCCCTAATCTTCTTATTCTGTTGAGTATATTATAAATGACTTTTGAGCCCCCGTACCTGCGTATAGCCTCGCCAACACATTCATAACCGTAGTGTCCTTGGTGAATATCAACCACCATTATATGATGATGGGAATAGGTCTCTGAACCACAAATCACAATGTTTTTAAATGCATCTTGATAAAATGACTTAAGTAATGGAATGGATTCGTAGAATGGAAAATGGTAAATAATAATTAATAGGATATCTTCAAAGTAGTTCTTTAGACATTCACCAGATCTTGTGTCATTAGGATTATGGTACGTCACATTATTTGATTCCTTGAAAACTGCAGCTGGTGACGATGTGTGTACTGTACCGCCTACAAAAGTATGAACGGATAGAAATTATCACATATCCTGTACTACTAAAAATAGGGCAATCATTTCATTATCTGTATTTTCTTGTTTGTTTCTCCCATCTGCAATGCGAAATTGGCCATGTTTTTGTTAATAAAATTTAAATTGAAGAAGATGAAGATCCGGGCTTACAGATCGAAAGCTTTGCAGTAATAAATTTACGTGCATTGTGTTTCCACAAACAAAACATATTAAAATTTCAATTGTTCGCCATTATTGCGACTACGCTACGTGGAAACACTGACGCTGCTCCTATCTGACCATATATGGACAGTAAAAGTATTCGCAACTGTCATGAATACCGTAAACCTCCGACTATAAGCCCCCCCCGAATATAAGCCCCCCCCGTGTATAAGCCCACCACATGCACTGACGCTCACCCATTGAACTATAAATAAACTGGAAGGCTAACTCAGGGGGGGGGGATTGAAGCCAGTGCATTTTAGTTTTTCTGAGTTATGAGCAGAAATACTCAACACTGAACGTTGGGCTATATATCAAATTGAAGCTATTGAAAAACGCTATTTGGTGTAGAAATTTCAAGATTTTAGCTAAAAGGGAAGTATTGAAAAACTACAAACATAATTACCGATAATTTGCCGTTTTGCAGTTGTTTTTGTATTTTTTAAATATTTTTCTTTTCGCTGAAGTCTTGAAATTTCCACACCGAATAGCAATTTTCAATAGCTTCAATTTGATATATAGCTCGACGTTTGAGGTCAAGTATTTCTGCTCATAACTCAGAAAAACTATTTTGGCTTCATCAAATCATAGGCCTTCATCATAGCAGTTAGCCTTCCAGTTTATTTATAGTTCAATGCGCTCACCTCATTCCAAATATAAGCCCCCCCCCCGAATATAAGCCCACTCGAATATAAGCCCCCCGAATATAAGTCCCCCAATTAATACAAGCCCAGTAATCGCTGCTTAATACACGTTTATTTCCCTGTTTATGACTGACTTGTTTATGTCTGACTTGTTTATTACTAACACAAAAGATCGTCCATGTATAAGCCCACCCGTATATAAGCCCCCCCTGTCACGATGTTATTAGGTGACGTCACGATGACGAAAACATTAATTTGATTGACAGGCGTGGCGAGCGAGGCGTACGAAAAAGTAACACAAGCTAGGCGTTTTATGTATTGTAAACAAATGACTATTTCTCTCGATTTCTTGTTAATCAGAAACTATATCGTAATAAACTAACACGTTACATGGTGTCAGGAGTGTTCTGAGTCGAAATAAAACGATGGTTGAACCACAGGCAGAAATCCAAGCGCCACAAATGGCCCAGACGCCACAAATATTTATAGCGCCATCGAATTTGCCACCGCCAAAGTCGCTTATATTCGACGATAACTTGGCAACTACATGGAAGTCTTGGAAGAAATCATGGACACGGTACGAGATTGCAACAGGTGTACAAAAACAAGAAGGTATTGTCAGAGTATCAACCTTGTTAAGCGTAATCGGCGAGGACGGTGTTAAGGCATATGACACTTTTACTTGGAGCGAAGATGAAAATCAAAATGATGTTGATATTGTACTTAAAAAATTTGATGAATATTGTTCACCGAGAACTCAAATAATCTATGAACGATACCGTTTCAACAATAGAAACCAGGCACCTGGAGAAAACATCGCAACCTACCTAACGGAACTGAGAACAATCGCCAGAAATTGTGCACATGACTCGATTACACCAGACGAAATTTTACGGGATCGTCTTGTTTTAGGCATTCGTGATGACCACGTCCGAGAACGTTTATTGAGGCTAAACGATCTCACGTTACAGAAGGCAGTCGACACTATCAAAGCCGCGGAACAAACACAGCAGCAAGTCAAGCTCATGAGCACCGGAGAAGATTTTGTAAACACGCTAAGGAGAACACAACAAGAAGACGCCGGTATAGAAAGTAAACAATATCGAAAGACAAAACCGCCGAGATATTCAATGCGAAACCGCCAGCAGGAAGGATTGTTTACAGAGTGTGGAAATTGTGGTATGGTTCACGACGAACGGAATTGTCCAGCGTTCGGGAAAAAGTGTTTTAAATGTGAAAAGATGAATCATTTCGCGCGGAAATGCCGAGGAAAAAATAGCAAAGCACCACAAGTCAACCAAACTACGGAAGTCGAGCAAAAACCGGAAGAAGATCTTTACTGCATCAGTTCTATTTCTGACAGCAACGAGCCCAAAGCACGCAAAGCTGTGATCAATTTGCAAGTGTCGAAGCCAGAGGCGGAGAACACGGTTCAATTCCAGATAGACACTGGGTCGCAATGTGACATTCTCCCAGCAAGTTCATACATACAAGTTACTGGTGACAAACAACTGCAAGGCCTAAAGACCTGCAAGAAGGAGATCGTTTCGTACACAGGAGAACATCGTAAAATCACCGGAAGAGCCAAATTGCCGGTGTGGTTCGGAGATCAGCAAAGAACATTGAACTTTAACATTATTCACGGAGATTATCAACCAGTTTTATCATTAGATACAAGCATCGCTCTTGGCGTTGTCAATTTGACCAACTGTGACATTTTGGCACTGACAATAAAGCCTCCAGAAGACAACTCGTATGTTGCAGAAGAGTATGCCGACGTTTTTGATGGCCTGGGCGAGATACCAGGAGCTCACACGATAACTATAGAAGATACGGCGAAGCCAGTTATCCATGCCCCTCGACGTGTTCCAGTCGCATTACGATCTCAAATAAAAGCCAAACTAGATGAGTTAGTCGACCGAAAAGTCAT